AGTCACTTAGCCAAACCTCTAGGCTCCCCAAGTTGACACAATGTATCAACCATAACACCTTTCTACTCCCCTACATTTCCTCATGCTGTAACTCAAATTCCTCCTTCTCTCTAGACTCTGCAACTGATATGATTTTTCTTCCTTAAATTTTGCTTTTTTAAACATGTCATGTTGATGAATTCCTTAAGTTATAATGTCATCAATTAGTTAATAATAAATTTTCCTTCTGTAATTTTCATGTAGCCAAATGTAGTTGTAATCCCTGATGTTGTAGTTATTATTTGTTTATTCCTTTTTATTGCCACATAGTACTCCATTGTATAGATATACTTTCTGGTGATATTAATTTGCTTTCCTGTCCTGTACACTTGTGTATAGTGGGCTGGAATGGATTTTGTTTTATCATAGTTTGGAGAGACTTTGTTATATCATACGTTTGAAAACTTGTGGACTTTTTAAATCATATATTACTGAGCAGATAATACGGTCCTTGAGAGAGACTCAGGCCTACTACTGAGTTGCCCAGGCAAAATGTACTCAAATCCTGTATGCTGCATACAAATAAATGGCTCACTGTGATTATGTGGGTCTTTTTCCTGTAAAGTCACTTGGAAGAGTGTAATCAGAGATTTTGGTACTTCCCAGTGTAATTTGGCCACATAATGTAATGGAAAGAGAATGTAAGTCAGTCAGGGAGAGATGTGGACCTGCATCCAAGCTCTGCCATGTCCCGGCAGCTCTTTCCTGGGTGAGTTGCTTGAGTCTGGCTCTCTAAAAATGGCCTCCTTACTCATACCATGGAAATCATAGTGCTAAGCTCATGAAGTTGGTACAAAAAGCCAGAATAAAACATAGTAATAGGCATAGCCTTTATGATAAGCCAATAGCTGTATCACTACTCTGTCCTCAACTCCCTATCCAGAATAGTCTCTTTGGTAAGTGTAGTTTTTTTGTTTTATTTTGTTTTGTTTGAGACAAAGTTTCACCATGTAGTCCAGGCTAGCTTTGGACTCACTATGTAGCCAGGCTGACCTCAGTGATCTTCCTGTCTCAGTTTCCCGAGTGCTAGGATTACAGGTGTGTGCCACCACACACAGCTTGGTCAATGTAGTTTTTCTATAGTCATTTCAGAAACAAGAAAGTTATTTTTCCTTTAGACTACTAAAGTACTACTACTATTACTTAAATAATTTTAACTGCTTTGTTATAACTCCCTCTGTAATGGATATTAACAAATACTACTAATATTTTACTCAGAAGTAGACTCTTGTCACAGTTTATAGCAAATACATCAATGTGGTAAATCAGTTTTTGTTTAAATTCAAATTAAACTGCATATGAGCTACAGAAAATAACTCAGGAAACTAGTTGACCTGACATTTATAATTGGCAGAGATATTTATCACTTATCTTTACTTCCATTACCATGTTTATCTCTGTAACCTACAACTCAAAGATTATATATTTCAGAAAGTTCTGCTACTTTTGCAAATAATAAGAGCCAGTAAAAGAGGTATAACAGGAAACTACTTTGGAGATCAGGCATGAAAGAAGATGATAAACAAAAGTTTATAGCAACTGACATGCAATGATATCATTCGGTTGTGTGTAGCTCACATGCATCAGGTATACAGTGATATTAAAATAAAATTTATCTGACTTAAGCCCTACCTAGTTAGGTGTAGGGTACCAGGTCCAATCTTTCCTTCTGAGCCTCTAGGGGCCACTAGAATGAATATCTGACATCTGTCAGTTGGCTATAATGCTATCTGCATGTCATCTCTATTTTTTTTCTCATTGTGCTACATTATGGTCCCAAATTTCAACCCAGACTGTGCAGCCTGGTACCCAGGTTATTGCTCTGTTCTGTTCTTGGTATTGATCACTTGAATATGCTCAGTGGCTTCTAATTTGCAGTCAGTCTCTCCTCTGGTTCATAATCCAATAATATGTCTGCTGAAATGAAGAAATTACCTTCCACCACGCTCATGATACACCTTGACCAAAATGTACCATTATTCTTTACTTTTTCACTGAGATACATTTACCGTTTTTAGCATTTTTCACTATCTATGCCATAATCCTGTTAAGTGAGTTCTATTCATCCTCTTGGATTTAGAGCTGTCACTCTGCTTTACTAAAATTAATCTTTCTCTTTAAAAATCTCATGTTACTGGAATCAGAACGTCACACCTCCATGATCTCCTATGTGTTTCACCAATCAAATAGATGTGCACATCTGTTGGACTAGCTCAATAGACATGAAGACTGTCCAAACTGTGTTGTTAGTTTGTATCTTAGCTACTTTCTCATCGCTGGGCCAAAATACCCAACATCAACAAGTTAAAGGGGAAAAGTTTTACTTTATTTCACAGTTTGTAGAGGGTTTAGTCCATAGTTGGTTGGTTCCAAGGCATGCAGCATGACAGAGAGGCATGGCAGAGCAGAAACAGTCTGTGGCATGGCAAGCATGGGGCAACCAGTGGCAAGCCTTCCTTTCCCTTTTTACTCTTTTCAGACTACAAGGCTATTGGTTGGTGCCACCCACAACAAGGGTGGGCCTTCCTATTTTCCACACCCAGAACTATGGTAAATAAATCAGTGGTTTAATCTAGTTATCACACACCAATAGTCCAGTATCACACATCCATGTTCCAGCTACCATCCAAATGTTCCATCTATGAGTGCATAAGGCCTTGGGGAGGACATCTAGATATAAGTCACAACATCTTGCTTCCTGTGAACTCCTCCTCCAGCTACACAAACAAACAAACATGTATGCATTTGCTCAGGCACACACACACACACACACACACGCAATCCAATTGTGTGTGCATTTTGTTTTGTTTTGTTTTGTTTTCCATTACCGGGAATCAAACTCACAACCTTGCACTTGCTAGGCAGGTGTTGTGCCGCTGAGCTAAATCCCCAGCCCCAGTGTGTGCATTTTAAAGAAAGTTTTATTATTTAAAAGTAGGTTCAGAGTATAGCTATAAAATGCCAAAACATCAAATTATGAAATTTAAATATGTGCAGTTTATTATATAAAAACAAAATACATTTACTATAAAAATACAATCCATATTACTATCAAGAGAGAGGAGAGACAGGTTTGTTTTAGGGCTTGAGTTGGGATTTACTCATTATGTCATGTGGAATTAGGTAGTTGGAAAAGGAGAAGGTGGAGAATGGAAAAGAACAAAAGCCAAATTTCAAGGAGTTACGGCAGAAAAAGTTCTGAGCCAGGTTCAGAAACACAGCCAAGAGTCAGAAAGAAGTCACGTTTCTGGTTATAATATGGTAGCTCTTACTTGAATGTTTTGTGTAGCAGCTATCCTGGTGTGTGCATGCACCGTGCATGTATGTGGCCTGTGGTAGGTACAGGTAAATCCCCCTGGATTGTGTGCACATGTAGGGCACAAGTAAGCCTTCTGGGGGAATCCCTCTAAAAGAATGTCAGGCTGAGGAAGGAGGCAGCAACTTCTTCGTTTTACAGCAGACTTAGGAGCGCACTTGGCAACATGATGTCTGATGTCATCACAAACCGTGGCTATGGACAGTGATCTCCACCCTGTTTGTGGTGGAAGCATG